TCGAAGTTACGTTGTTTTGGATTCGAGTCTTTAATTTTTTTATTTTATTTTTTTTTCCTAAAATATGGCAACACCTTTGTTTTTGATTGCGCCATGCCATCAAAATTTTATTTTCACTTTGTGTCGTTTCAATTTGCGTCGTGTTTTTTTGGAACGTAACCCCGACGCAAAGCGAGGTATGGGTGTACAATAACAATATTACAAAAGGAATGAAGCTATAAAAAGGGATGATAATAATCTAAATAATCTGTTTTAAATAAATATTAAATATCATTGAATATTTTGAATAAATGTAGGGCGCATTAAAATTGATGCAAACATATTTAGAAGCCTCATCAACCAATAATTTAACTCCCGACTTTTTGGTGACTTGCTGTCACTCTCTTCAGGGGAATGTTAGTTCCAGTAAAGTCACTGAAACATCAGGAATTGAACCATTGTTTAATGTGGCTGTGATTTTCTGAATCAACTTCCAACCAAAAAATAATCTTCAGATTTTGTCAATAGGTGTTGACCGAATATCTAAAAAAACAAATACACCAATACCTCGCTTTGCGTCGTTTCGTTTTGCGTTTTTTTTCGAAGTTGCGTCGCTGCTTAATTTTTACTGATTTTTACTGTGCGTCGTTAGATTTTCGAAGTTGCATTGTTTTGGATTCGAGCGTTTAATTTTTTTTTTTTTTTTTGAATATTTTTCCTAAAATATGGCAACACCTTTATTTTTGATTGCGCCTTCACATATTTTCACTTTGCGTCGTGTTTTTTTGGAACGTAACCCCGACGCAAAGCGAGGTATGGGTGTATGTGAAATTGTACTAGGATTAGGTAGAAAAGTTAAGAATAAAGCATCTCCTGATGTTGCAATTGAAAGTTGCTGGTGACTTGTCCAATATCATATTTCTGGATTATTCAAAACCAACGATTAGTTGACATTTATTCTAACAGTGGCACGAGAGATCAAGAGAGTTTTTTATCTTTAAATATCAAAAGGTTGATAATGAAGAATGTAACATGCATTTTTGATCATTTGGTATAAATGTATAACTTACTTTACATTCGGATTTCCTGATGCTTGACTTATGGAAGTCCATCTGGGAAATTTTTCTCTCATCTTTGCTATCATATCTATTATATTCCATTTCTGAGACCCTTCAGTGCTGTGTATATAAGCAGAATCGTCCAATACAGTATTAGAGCTCCGAGAAGCGGTCTGGTGGATTAAATTGGCGAAACCGCTGGGAGGGTTCACCACTGATGAGCCAAGCCCTCCCAATATATTTATTCATCGCAGTAAGGGCAGTCGAAGTTTGTATTATGTATAAAAGAAACATTCGTGCTTTTAATTCCTTTCATTTTATATATATATTTCATTTCATTAAACCTTAACGATGTCTTCGGAATTTGCACATTTTTCTGTTTATTTGAATCTTTTAAAAAACAGTTTCAAATAATCAAATCAAGAATGCCATTTCTTAAGCCACATGCTGATTCAGAAAGTTCATTCCTTTTTGTAGCAGAGTGAAAAGAATAATCTTCGAAAGAAAAATACTTGAAAAATCTTCATCATAGATTTTTGACTCAAATACTAAAAATTAAGTATCCTATTTTGAAATCATCATCTTTCTTTGTTTTTTTATAATTGGCTTTGAATGATGTTGTTTTCTTTTGACAAAATATACTCTAGAGCATAGATTCTGTGTCAGAGATATAATATATATACGTCATTGAACATATATTCTTGATATACTTTGCCTTGATGAAATACTAATAATGAAGTATCTTTCTTTATAATGATCATCTTTCTTTGTTTTTACTAATTGGCCTTGATTGATGTTTTCTTCTGACCAAATATACTCCAGAACATAGAGTCTATGTCAGAGATATGATACGTCATTGAACATATATTCTTGATATATTCTGTGCCTTGATGTAAATATAAACAATTAATATATCAAATATTTCTTTAATTGGATGAGAGAAGGATATATGAATACAGCTTGTTTTATATATTTGAACTTTTATAAATCAGCACTTCCCCATTTTATTATGGAATCACATATAATAAAGCGTTTGTTCGTTGAAGCCGAATAGGATTGGTCCATTCTGTGTCACGTGTTCAAGTTACGTAGGATGTTTGTTTGTTATTACGTTGGATGTTTGTTTGTTCCCTAACTCCTCTCTTAATATTTTTATTTTATACGACAATATTTCGTATACATATTACATTTGGTCCCGGAATTATTCAGGTAACTTCAAAATTATATTTAAACTTTTAAAAATAACGCAGTTAGCAAAAATACGCATTTAGCTCGACGTTAAGCTCGACGTTAGCGACACGCTCGGCCATTGATTGAAATAAAACGAAATAATTTGATATATAAATATTCGTAATTTACACTAGCCACATCAGCCACATATTTGATAATATTCATAATTTACACTTTAAATACTTTTCATACTTGCCTTCTCTTTTCTAATTTTTATAGTCTAAATATTTAAATGCGTACTTTTAACGACGACATTTTTCATTTTAGTAAATCTTAGTAATCTTTAGTAAATTTTACACTTTAATAATATTTTTCATTTTTAATTTTTCATTTTAGCACCGTTTTTATTTTGTTAAGGTCATTTTTCATAAAATGTCTGTTTGTCTGTATGTATGTTTGTCCCCTAACTACTCTCTTAATATTCTATTTTATACGCCAATATTTAATTACGCCAGAAATTGGCTATTTTAATATTGCTTATATTGAATATGCCTATGCGTATATTTTATTTTATTAAATATTTATATTCTTTATTCGATATTTAGTGAATATTCAAAATAGACGCTCAAAATAAAATAGAATAAAATTTCAATATACAGTAGAACTTGGATAATTCGAACTTCTTTAATTCGAAAACCTCTTTAATTCGAATATTTATCTTGGTCCCTAGAATTTCCTATATATATAATTTCCGTTTTTAATTCGAATTTTTGGATAATTCGAATTTTTTATGGTCCCTTGGGGTTCGAATTATCCAAGTTCGACTGTATATCGAAAATTGATCTATGTCACATTGTTATATTATATAGTGTTATATTATAGTGTAACTTTTTTTTTTTGCATTTTTACACTATACATTTTTACACTATACATTTTTACACTATACTATAAAATGTTGATATTATGCCGTGAGAGTACAACTGAGAGTACACACTAAATAAAATAGTAAGAATAATGTTATTTCCAATTAAGGTTTTTCAATAACGAAAACATATTGATGTTAGAGTTTCAAAGAAAATCTAAAAATGAAAATGTTGTTAAAGTAAAAAATTAAATTGTGCTGTCTTATATTATTGTTTTTTTATTGTTGTCTCTTATAAATGTCTTAAAGTTGCAAAACCTATATATAAAGGAAAAGGAATGACCGTTTCTCTTTATTATATTAATTAATATAGCTCAATTGTTTTTGACTTATAACTTTATATTCGATATTTATCATCATATTTGGTTTGTTTGGTATCAAAAAAACTGCGAATATATATATATTTTTTTATCTCTGGCTCACTGTTCTTTTTAAATTATAATAACAATTTTGATGTCGATTTGAAAAATTATAAAATATATAAAATATCAATTCAACTAATAGAAAAGTTAACATATTTACCTTTTACCTCGAACGCTTCCGATTACATATTATTAAGTATCAAAAAGGAATGTGAGAAATAGAATTAGGAATCCACCTGCTCTAGCCGTCCTTGGACGGGCTTTTCTACTAGTAATTTATAATACTTATTAGAGAGAGATAGTATTAAGAGTTATTAAGTTTTTTTCAGAAGCCAATTCCAATAATCATTTTTTTTTTCAAATACAATTTTATTTTCTTGATTGATAGAGTATCAGATACATCTCAACATTGTCCCAATTTCTTTGAAACGAATAATATTGTAAAGAAACTATACCATGAAGATTCTGGATGGTTAAAATTTCATAAAAAGGAATAAATAGTTTAAAGATGTTTGATTTTTCGTATTTTAACATTTTATTTGATATACGTTCATTGTTAGGATCCTTGGTAAAATCCGCTGAAAAGAACCTTTTCTTTTCACATCAGAATATGTTTTCTGAAAACTTTGCGTTTTCATATATTCATTGTTAGATTCCTTAGAATTGTAGAATAGAAATTTCTTTTGTATATCAATATATTAATTTCTAAAGAGCTTTTGAAGATAAAGTCGTTATTAGTCAAGTTTTCGCGAATAAAACCTCAAAAGAATATATTTCCTTTTTCTCACTAAAATTCTATTTTCTTTAAAAGTTTGATTATCGATCGAATTATAATCTATAGGTAAAAAACACTTCCAAGGATGGAAACCAAACCTTAAAGGTTCAGGTTCTTAATATATATTATTGTTTCTCTTTTTATTTTTGATTACATTTTCTTTTATAATATGTTTATAACTGTTTCTGTTTTAAAAAAAAGTAAATCGACGCAATTATCTCTAGCCGGGATATCGCGTTTTGTGTGTTGAAATAAAACAGGATGGATGTTTCTATTTCGGTACGCTTTCTGAAAATGTTGGATCGATTGTTAGAGGAGTTCTTAGCATATACAATCTTATTGGGAGACTTCACTACCATATATTTCTATAGGTTAACTTATATTGTGAAATAATTACAAAGGATATAAAACGTTATATCAATTGAAATAATTGCAAAAGGTTTCTTTATAAATTTCTTTAAGAAACGTTTTACAATTATATTGATTGATATATCGTTTTAAATTTCTATAGAATGTCCTCTCATCCGATTCTAAACTTGATGTAATTTCATTCAAATACAAACCAATTGGCATTCAAATCTAGATGGCGCTCTGCCATCTGGAAATGATCATGTGAGCACGGTCAAGATATGCCTTTTTTTATTATATACTAGCCGAATGACCCGTGGTCACTGCACACGTCCTTGGAATAGTTGACAGAGTTACCGCAGTGAGGCGCTGGTTGCGAGTTAAATAGGGAAAATTCGTTACTAATTTGTTAATAACTCCAAGGGTATTCGAGATAGAAGCCTGAAAATTTGCCTTTAAGTTTTTCCAGATTCAACTCTATATACTGTTAAAATTTCAGCCAGATTTGTTACGTATTGTGGACGTGTATAGCCGACATAGATACCCACATACATACACTGACTTTTATATATATAGGGAAATATACTGCAAGTTGAAAATGATCAACCCCATCTATCGGAATAAATATCAACAATTCTTTTGATATATATTTTACGACTAAAATAGTTTTTGATACAATATCTTGATCATTCGAAATAAATGGTCCACTCTATACGTTTGCATTATGAAGATATTGTGTCTGACACCCAAACGTTATAGCATGTTGGAATAAACTCAAGAGTAAAAGGTGACATTTTGTCTGTTAGTTTGGTGGCAGACGTTTCAATCAGAAGACCTAATCTTAGCTGTCGCCGAGAATAGAAATGTCAGCAATTGACAGTCGTGTGCTCTGTCACCATTCGTCTGGACACTTGTCTCGTTTGGGACAACCTCGACTGGCTGGCTTACAGAGATCGGCTGCGAAGAAAGCAAGACGACGACTTTTACTTCCTCTAAATGGCCAAGTTTGATCATCTTCCCGGCTCAAAGAACAGCAGGCTGCTCGTTGAATCAGTCCACGAGGAAATCAAGAATTGCTCTGTATTCCTCAATAGCAATTGTAAAAACATCTGAACACATGAAAATTTATTTCACCTATCGAGAGTGAAAAAAAAAAGAGATTTTTGAAAAAGATTATTCATAAATAACTTTAATTAAAAAGGCATATATTGGATCAAAATATCTCATTTATTTTACCAATATTTCAGTCGGCTGAACACCAACCTTTATCAAGGTATTATAACATATTTAATGTGTGTCAACTTTGGCTTTCAGCTAACTGAAATATTGGTAAAATAAATGATATTTTAATCCAAAATATGCCTTTTTAATTAAAGATTTATTTATGGATTGCTCTATTTTCAAAACATAAAACACTGAAAAATAAAAATTTTAAATGATCATTTCCAAATATACAAGGTTGTCCCAAAAGTTCGTAAACCCTTGCAAAAAAATTGAAATACCAATATTATCCGCTATAATATTATTAGCCGTTATGTATAATGTATTTGTATTATGTATGGTGTCTTGTCCACCTTAATACCTGAAAAATAAAATGTAAAGATTGCAGTCGTGCTCTTCACATTTTTTTTTTTTTTTTGACTTGTAATATTTTAAAAGTGTTTAAAAACTATATTTTCATTAAATAATGAATATGCAAAATAATAATACTTCACGATGTTTTATTTTAAAATGAATAATAATTTGTATTTTTTTTTTTTGATAAAACTCTGTGACATGAAAATATAGAAGTTATATATATATATAATGAGTTCGTTTGGTAGATGTAAATATTAGCCACCATTTTAATTTGTCGGTTTGTATTTAAATAAATAAAAAATAATTAATTTGATAAAAAGAAGGCTAAGGCTATTTCTTCAAAACATCTACCACAAAGATCATTTTCAAATATACAAGGTTGTCACGTAAACACTTGCAAAAAATTGAAATACCCCATAATATCATTCGCCGTTATGTATAATGTCTTTCTATTCTATAGATTTTTAACTTTTAATTAGACAATTTATATTTAGACATTTTTCATTTCAATTTAGACATTTTTCATTTTAATTTTGACACTTTTATTTAGACATTTTTCATTTCAATTTAGACATTTTTCATTTTAATTTAGACACATGGACACACTTTTTATAGAAAGGTCCTTGTGTCTAAATAAAAATGAAAAAATGTCTAAATATTAATTAAAATTGTCTAATTAAAAGCTTAAAACCTATATATAAAGTAATTGTATTATGTATTATTATATATTCGCCATAATAATATCATTCGCCAAGTAATACAAGAAAAACAACGTTTAAAAAAAAAAACACGAACTTTTAAGACAACCTCATATTTCATGTTTTAAAAAAAATGAGTAGTTAAAAAAAATTAACATCGTATATAATTATAAAAGATAAAAGCTATAATACACATATTGGAAATCGTGACTTTTTTTTCGGTTGGTAAAGAATTCTAAATATACTTATGAATAAATATTTATTCAAATTAAATATACAGGGCTATTGACCAGGCTATTTAGGGTTATATATAGTCAACGATAAGAAAAATTTCAACATTATTTTTAAAATATTTCCAATCTATCTTTCACAATGGGGAAAATGTTGCCAGAGATTTTATATAAAATATATAAAGATCAGAAAATAAAAGTAGAATTTTTCTTACAGACGTCTCCCAATTTTCTTTAAAATAGTTTTTTTTCTTTAAATATTTTTACTTAAATTTTCCCGAGGCTAAATATCAAAATTTGGTTCACAAACAAATGAAATTTTCAGTCCTCATATTTTTTTTCCAAATCTACTTTCTTATTAAAAAATGTAACTTTTGTTATATTTGTTAAACTATATTTAGTTCAAAAAGAAATAAAAAGTTTAGTTATTTTTCTAAAGATTTTTTTTTTCAATTTGAACACGCTTTCGTCTCAATTAATTTTAATTTAAAAAATGCATACTTAACCCAAAAATTAATTAATTATTAATCAAGTCAATTTATATATTTTAAAAAGTTACCGCGAAACACAAGTACTTAATTAATCTTTGAAACTAAAAAAAAAAATAATAAAAGGCAATAATCAGTCAATGGTCAATTTCATTTTTTTTATATTAAATAATAATATAATCATAGAAGGATATGTTTATAACCCAGGCTCTTTGTATATATATCTCTATAGATGATATAACTAAAAAAGTAAAAAATATATATTTTTTGAAAAATATATTACATGAAAAATTACATCACCTATAAACATTTTAGCAAAATTTCATTAATGTTGCATACGTAATAAAAATCATTAAGGCATGTAAATAACCAAATTTCTTAAACCGTGCATAAAAAAAGCCTTATTTTTTCACGAAAGGATATTTAAATAGCCTTCTTGTGTATCATTAATTAAAGTTAGCTCGTCTTTTTTATTATTAAAATCATCTTCAATCTGTAAAATGCCAAGGAAGAAAAAAGGGTGTCTATATAAGCAAATGTCTTATTCTACAAAAAGCAGAACCATAGGCCTTAGATAAAGTGGAATTTCGACTAGATAAACTGCTATGTAAGTAGGCTGCAATCAAAGTACTGTTGTATGGATTTGGTCTCAGTGGTCAAAGGAAGAGAAAAGTTCAAGAAAGCCTGGCTCAGGTCGTCCTAGAGTAACAACAGAGAGAGGATAGGAGGATTCGAAGGATGGTTGTAGCAGACAGTACTGTACCAATACAGCTCCACATGTACAGAATGGACCATCTCTGAACACCATTAATAACTGTCTTATCGAAGCAGAACATTGTAGTCGCCAGCCTTTATTAAGAATTCCACTCTCTGCCTAACACAGAAGCGACAGGCTCAGCTGGTGTGAAGAGAGAAGTCTTTGGGCTCAAGAATGGAATTCTGCCATTTTTTCTGATGAAACCAGATTTACTTTGGGATTCATGAAGGCAGGATACATGTTAGATGTAGGCCCCAAGAAATATCCCATCAGGACTGTATTGTGGAAAGGCATACAGCAAGAACCTTCATGGTGTGGGTTGGTATCAGCTATGAAAGTAGGACCTCTTTAGTCTTTATTCAAGGCACAATGACTTCTCATCTATACATTGAAGATGTGTTGTAATCTGTTGTGTTACCATTTCTTGAGCAGACTCACAATGCCAGTTTCCAACAAGATAATGCCTGACCACATACAGCCTACATCTCACGAGCCTTCCTTCAAAATGTTGACATTTTTCCCTGGCCCGCATGTTCCCCAAATATTTCCCCAATTGAGCATGTATGGGACATGATGGGGGAAAAATTTTGGCAATCTCCACAGACAAGTAATCTTCAACAGCTTCGGCACAATATTGAAATGGCATTCCACAAAAGAAGCCATAAAAAAACTATATGAAAATATGCCTCATTGTGTATCTGCTTGTATACGTGCCAAATATGAAATCACCAAATATTGATAAAAGCTGCGTATCTCAATAAATTTACATCATTTTAAAAATAATTTGAATCAATTACCTATTACTATTACGCTATTACATATCTCACCAAATTTCAGAAAATTTACATAAGTATTTCTAGACGATGCTTTTTTTTGTAGCCAGTGCATATAAAATATAAAAATCAAAAACCTACAGTTATAGAAATTATTTTTATCCATTTCTAGCTAATTAGAGAGAGAGAGAGAAATTAATTCCCCGCTCTTTTTTCAGCCAAATAAACGAAAAAGAAAACACATTATTTAAAAAAATAATAATGATGACTATTATGTGTGTAGAATCAAATAAAAATAATTATATTTTTGACCATAAATCTAAATATATTTTTCTAACCAAACACGCATTTTTCCAGCTCATTTTAACCAATAAGACGAAAAAGAAAAACACGGTTATAAATATTTTATATAAAAAATAACATATCTTTTAATAAATATATAAAAAGCACATCATATAAAATAATTTTAGTCCAAAAAAAAACTAGTTTTAAAATAATTTTTAACTAATCGCAAACTTTTTTCCAATTTTCGCGTTTTTTTTTTTTTAGCGAAGCAGACTAAAAAAATAATTCCTAGTTTTTGAAGAAAGTTGTATAATTATTTATATATACACCTTCTTATATGTGTATATCTTGCAATATTTATAGGAAATTGTATGTTAAATATTAATTTATAAAAAAATACTCTGAAACCAGTATTGAATATATATTACCAAACGAGTACGTGAATCATTTTTCTATTTTCCCGCCTTTTTTTTTTATCAAGCAGACGAAAAAAAAAAGTTATTCGGATTTTTGAAGAAGTATCGAAGATCGAAGAACTCTCCGCACGCGAGCCAATCAGCTTCATTAATTTATTTTAAGGGCGAGCCTGATTGGCTAATTTTATTAGTCGTGATTAACACTTCCGGTAGATAGATTCACCTGATTGGTTGGTTATATCACTTGGGAAATCCCCACCCCTCTCTACTTCCCCTTCTCCCTTCAATTTTTTTCACCTTTACAGAAGAAAAAAAATGATAGAGAGGGGATAAAATCTATGACATAATGCCCACTTTTTCTTTCTTTCAAAACTTTTACCTATATAGAAGGAGGGAAATTGTACATTTTTATCAGGTTTATTCTAAAATCTATATGGGGATTATTAACTTTGCATATTGGAGATGTAATAAAAGAAAAAGATCAATGTTTTGAGATACTTAATGTACTTGGAGATGAGGCCGCATATATTGGATAATGTTCAGCACTTTTTTTTTTCAAATTCTCCGACATTTTCAAACTCTTCTCTTTTACTTTGAGATACACTTGAACTACACGTGAGAGGTCATAGATTCAACTATCCCTGGTCTCTTCTGGAGGTTGAATTAGGTTTTATAAAAGTAGTCGTTGATTGGAGGTATTGTTGTGATATAAAACTGAACTTCAGCACCCCATCTAGCTATAAAATTTGGAATTTTAATTTAGAGGTATTAAAAAAAGATATCACTAGTAAATATATTGCAATGAAAGTTAATGGGAAGGCCTGAACTTATCAATTGTAAAATATTTCAGAAGTTTTGTCCGTTTAGATGATGTATTTGGCTCTCTTCTGCCTTGAAGAAAAAAGATATTTCTAGTAGATTTAGTGCAATGAAAGTTAATAGGAAGG